AAAAAAAAAAAAAAAAAAAAAAAAAAAAAAAAAAAAAAAAAAAAAAAAAAAAAAAAAAAGGAAAAATATCAGGAAGGTCCGAAATCTTCCCCCATATCAACAAGGATAGCCTTATCCACTTCCATCCAACGTGGAACCTCCTAAATGATACTCAAAATTCTCTTCCAAGATCCCATTTTGTCACGTGTCAAAACAAGATCCAATCACACGCCATTTGAAGCCTCCACCTCCTATCTCAACCTGGCAACTCCAAGTTCCTTCCTTTTCCAACCAAGAAGGCAACAATGGCTTCCTTAACAACACTAGCCGCCGTTCAGCCGGTTGCCGTAAAGGGTCTTGGTGGAAGCTCCCTTGCCGGGACCAAGCTGCCCCTCAGGCCCTCTCGCCAGACCTTGACGCCCAAGAACTTCAAGTACCAAAATCAATCACCAAAAACGCTTTATTATTAGTTTGGAATTGTATGAAACTTGTGGGGTTTTTTTGTTTTCAGGGCTGGTGCTGTGGTGGCTAAGTATGGTGACAAAAGCGTTTACTTTGATTTAGAGGATTTGGGTAACACTACTGGACAGTGGGATTTGTATGGATCTGATGCTCCTTCACCTTACAATTCTCTTCAGGTCTGTGATTCATTGTTTTGCTTTAAAGAATATAAAGAATGAATCAGAACAGAACAGAGTAATTCTTAGCTTTTTGGATTGAACTTGCTATTGACTTATTTTGGTACATTTTATAGAGCAAATTCTTCGAGACCTTTGCTGCTCCATTCACCAAGAGAGGACTGTTGCTCAAGTTCTTGCTACTAGGTGGTGGTTCCACTTTAGCTTATTTCAGTGCCACTGCCCCAGATGACGTTCTTCCAATCAAGAAAGGACCTCAACTTCCACCCAAACTTGGGCCGCGTGGCAAGATCTAATTCGCTTTCGAATCGGGTTTTTGTTGTATGTAAATTTTCTCTCTTAACTTACCAGCATGTTTCAAAGATACCATTTGGGAGTGTTATTTGAGCCATTGTTATTATGTGATCAATGTGGTCTTTGCCAGTTTGCCCTGCAGAAGAAACAAATTCAAAATACTCCAAATACTCCAAATACTCCAAAACCAATTACTTTTATTCATCCTTCATATTTACAACAGGAATGAATTGAATGGATTTGGTAATTACAGCTCTAAAGAGAAATTCAGTCAAAAGGAGGTTAAGCTTAACCGTGTTTTTCTGCTATGCTGTCTCCCCCTTCTCTAAAACCTTATGCTAGCTTTTTGTTCTTCTTATTTTTCGTCTTCCCTTATGAACTCGAGTCAATGTCTTGCCACGGGGCTCTTCGGACCGCCGCTGATGTTCTCGAGGTACGAGACCAACTTATTGTTAGTCACTATGTTTTGAAGCTTCTGCACAGGCTTCAGTTCACCTTCTGCGGTTAAGTTGTCTGAATTCCCTGTTGGTGATTCCTTCTTTGTCTCATTATCAGAAATATCAGGACCCCAATTCATGAAATCCAATAATGTCATCGAAGTAAGTGTCTCGGAAGCATTTTGTGTCTCTTCTCCTGGTGAAGGCTTATCCACCCCCGACGATACCGGGGTTTCCCTTGAAGGGCTCTTACTCGAGGCCTGTGTCGGATTTTGAGCCAGATAATCCGCATACAGTACATCCTCAATCCTTGACATCACAGTGAAGGCTAAGCTCTCAAGGATTCTAGAGTAACTCTCTAGAACAGCCTGTCCAATATCCTAAACATCCAAAGAACCAACATAACATTAGAGAGTGCTGCAAACAGAAGTTTTCTAGGATTCCATCCACCCTTTTCAAGACATGAATACTTTCCAAAAACAAAAACAAAAATGTTTTGTACCCTATTGTATTGGATTTTGCTAATGTCTAGTGATGATTGAGGAGTGCCCGGGAAACGATGCTTGAGGATGATTAAGATTGTTTCTGCTCGCTCCTCGAAAAGCTCTCGCTTCTCCAAGCTTACAGCCGAGCCCCAAGCAGATTTTCCATCTTTCTGGTTCATCTTCCTCTTCCATATCACAATAGAAGCTTCAATTCTATCCTTGAGATCTAGGATCTTGTGCTCTGAAGATAAGTCCAATGTAGACAGAAATTGATCCGGGTCGAAGAATTCGACCGTTATGTTTCTGTACACAGAGTCTCCAAGGCTTTCCCTCCCATTCTGCAAACGAATATTCAGTCATGAAATCAATGAACAATAGAGCATTTGTGATATCAGAGGTAAATTTTGTTGACCTTAGGCAATAACTCTATGTAGTTTTCAGGGATCTCCATTTCTGATAGAACTTGTGCATTTATGGCCATGGCTGCTTTAAGGACTTGGTTTACACAATCCTTTTGATACTGCATAAATTTCCTTGAGTTCTCAGATAAACCATTCGTAGGGACTTTAGGAGTAGGCAGCCACCATTTGTCATCTTTTCTCTTTGAGGCATTGTCTTTATTCGAATCACCCGAATCTTTCGATGATACGTAGTAAAACTCAGATTGGTCCTTAAAATTATCCAAACAATCCTATGCATCATGTGAAACCATTAAACAGATTCAATCATGAAAACTTATTAAATATGAAAATGTGGAGAAAAATTAGTAATTTTCCTACAATAAGCATGGCATCGAGCTTGCGCAGCGCCGGGATGTTCATGTGAAGATCCTTGCGTTGACGGGTAACCATGATCTGTTGAATCAAAGAATGTCAACTGTTGTTTGTCTTTGTTCTGAAGATCAGAAAGAAAAAGGGAGAGAAATTTTTGCCTCCATGTTTGTTCCATCCTTAGATTTCTGTTGGGAAGCAACAAATTCAACTATGTAGTCAGTGACTGATAAAAGCAAGTCAATTTCTTTTCTCCACCTTGTTTTTCTCTCCACCGACATCGGCTCTAGACGCCATTGTTCCCCGAAAACAGAAGCTGCAAAATGATCATCACTTAACATTCTAATAATACAGTTGCTTTTTTTAACCACATCAAAATGATAGCACAATTCAACCGACTTTGTGACAATTCTCGACCGAAAACAGAAGATCGACACACCGACGACATACCTGCAAGATTCGTGATTGCATTTGACAGAGCTAAGGCCGACGAAACACCCTTTCCTCCACCAGACATATCTTCACCCAAAAGCAACTTGGAGAACCGCTCCTTCATCTGTTCTATTTCTGGTCATTACAAAGTCATAAACTTCAGTTTGTTATTGAAATCATTCTGTGGTTTCCATTATTCTTTTCTCAGAGCATTCAATCTTTTCCAAACAGAAAAGAGAAGAGATATGAACCTGTTGGTGGGTGATCTTTAGGCTGCTTAATTGGAGCTTCATCCCTGCAGGCCATGGCTTTTGGAGGGCCTTTGTCGGGTTGATTGGTTGGAGATTTTTCCGAAACGGTGTCATTTGGAGGAGTAGATCCCTGATTGCTGTTGGAAAACAAACCATTATTATGTGAAGAAAAGAGTGAAGCTTTTGGATCATCATTTATGTTTGAAATGAAAGAATTGGGACCTGCAATTGTCGTCGCCCTGTTCCATTTCTTGTACCATCTTCAGATTTTTGATGAATCTTTTGGTAGAATAGACGAGAGAGAACAAACCAGCAATCTTGACAGACCGAAAAAGACAAAGGTCATAGAAAGAGAAAAGGACAGAGGTGTTGGTTGGAAAACCCAAAAAAACAGAATCAAATTTCAACCGAATAGGTTGGTTTGTTATGTTGTTTGAAATGGGGATTGGGTTACATGCAGGGTTTGATAAGATAGATGTGAGAGAGAGAGAGAGAGAAAGGGAGAATTTGGCGAGAGAAGAGATGGATGGGTGGCTGTGGTTTTTCATGGGAAGGTCAAAGGTTCTCAAAAACAGGGGAACACACACATGTTTGAAATTTGAACGGCTAACCACCGTTTCTTTATTTCTCTTAAAAGTCACCGCTCAATCTGAGGAACCAATGCTATCTTCTTGTTCCTTCTATGTTCCATTTGACGACATTGTACTTGTGTTTCTTTTTCTGTTGCATCTAGTTATTACCATTATTGCTTTCTACATGAAAATTATAATAAGAGTAAATAAGAATATTTTAATTCCAATAACAAACTATTTTATGTTAGCTCTCCTTATTTCATCCCATGTCTAGTCTAGTCCATAGCTCATCCCATGTCTAGTCTAGTCCATAGCTCACCCAAGCCATACACAAAATATTCTAATTGTTTAATAGACATTTAAAATTTTAACACACAAAATTAATAAATTTTTTTGTTAGGAGCTCTTAAGGTTGAAGTTAAAAAACCATTTTTAAAAAAAATAAAACTAGAAGATATTGTTTAAAGTACATTTACTGGTTTTATGAGTTTCCAAGAACTTGTCTCAAATAGTGATTCAAGGCAGTATCACCATATAAATTCTTATGTAAAAATAAATAAAAGTTGAGATATTGGTCTTAAAGCTAAAAAAAAAAGTTAAGAAAATAGTTGATATTTTTTCTTGAGTATTTATATACGGATTTTTCGCCATTGTTAACTCATCTGAAACTAACCCAGTTGATGAAAATGACGACTTAGATTTGGAGGGTCTTGAGGGATTGGATGAGGAAGAGGAAAATTGGGCAGAACTATGACTATGGGGCTCTACTTTCAGAACCTCACTGGGAAACCTATTCAGTGAAGCACACAGGATTATTTCTTCAGATTATCAATGAGAGAGTAATAAATAAATATCTAATCTTTAGATTCAGAAGAAAGCTGTTTAAGACTAAACTAGAAAACTAAAACGTCCACCATTACTCAAAGAAAACGAACTCATTTATATTCACAAACAAAGAAAGAACACCCGAAATTCAGCCACTAAATCCCTCAAACTCCCAAGTTATACACTATCAATAACAAGAACTTCATTCAACTTTGTAACCCAGAGTTTCGCAGAACTTAATTAAACTGCAGAATTTAAAGCAAAACCTTCCGCTAAAATAGGTTGCTCTTCTTCTTCACCGCTCTTCTTCTTCTTCTTGGCTTCATCTCCAACCTCCAACCCTTCCAATACATCTACCACACAACCCTTTCCTCTCCTCTCCTCCATTCCCCCTACTACGACCCCATCGACATTAAACTCCGGCAGTTTCAATCCCTTATCCGTCGCGCAAGCTGCCGGAGGATCCAGTTCCGGCAAGATTCCAGTGACGACATCGGTAGGTAGAGACGCAGTAGGCGACCAGTTATCCTCGACACCGTAGCCATCGGAATCTTCGCCGTCGTCGGAGGAAAGAAAGGCGGTGGCCGTGGATTTGATAGCGGAGGCGGCCTTGAAGAAGGCTTCGCGAATAGAATCGGGAGGAAGGGCACAATCCTCGAGTCCAGCGTCTTCGAGACGGGGAGGGAGGATTTGATCGAAGAGACCTGGTTTGGATTGGTGTTCTTCTGCTGCGTCCATGAGAATGGGAACGAAAAATTAAAAACCCTATCGGAAGATTTGGTGAGTAGAATTCGTCTAATAAATAGTGAAGAAAAGGAAGAGGAAGAAGGGCCACGTGGCGCAGATCCGGCGCGATTAATCGGCGCTTTAAACACGTGTGAGTCACTTCAGTTAAAAATTAAAAACGAAAAGAGATCCTCATTTAGCTCCAAATCTAAATAATAAATACTAATTATAAATTCTATTATTTATTTTGTTCTTAAAAAGATATTCGTCACTAAAAATAAATTAGTCCGTGATTAGTAATAGACGAGATAAAGAGACTAAAAAAGATGAGCTATAATAGGGACAAATTTATAATTATATTTAAATGATAATTTTAAAATTATATCAAAACCAGCAAAAATTTAATTCTCCTTGTCATAATTTCTATTATTTAAAAGTATTATTTGATTTTATAAGATAATAAATAGCAAATGTCATAATTTCTATTATTTAAACGTATTATTTGATTTTATAAGATAATAAATAGCAAATGTCATCATTTCTATTATTTAAACGTATTATTTGATTTTATAAGATAATAAATAACAAAAGTGCATATACAAGTTTAACCATAAAATATCAAATTTATAGCCAAATTTCTATAAGCTATAGATGTGCAATAGAGATATAAATTTCTATAAGCTATAGATGTGCAATAGAGATGCATCAGAGCCAACTATGCATCATAGCCAACTTGCTACTAACAAATATTGCTACTACCCAATATTATTCGCTTTGACCCGTTACGTATCGTCGTCAACCTCACGTATACTAGAAAGAGGTTTCCACATGCTCTTACCATTACAAGGAATGTTTCATTCCTCTCTTGAAACGATGTGGGATCTCTTAATCCACCTAGTATCCTCGTTGACACATTGTCTGATGTTTGGCTCTCTTACCATTTATAACGGCCCAAACTCACTACTAGCAGGTATTGTTCGATTTGGCCCGTTGCGTATCACCATATGCCTCACAATTTTAAAATAGATTTACTAGGGAGAAGTTTCCACCGATATGAGATCTCTCAATTATAACAATGATCGAGATCTCTGATAAAATGTCACAGTTCTTCTATAAGATAATTTCACATGCAACACATTAGGCAAGATGAAGATGAAGATCATTTCTTAAGTGTGGTTATGGTCAAGGGGATAGAACAAAGTGGCTGTTAAATCCCATGGAATGACTGACATTGTCTGCCTATGAATCTCACTCGGAAGTTTGAGGATGGAAGAAGCTTCTTTATTGTTTAGCGGTGGTACGAAGATATAAGGTGACAAAGGCTAATCAGATGCCTTGCATACAGTGGCCCTTTTCCTGGAATCACATCTCCTAATAATACAAATCGACTACATACATGCAACATTGACACCCAGATTAAGGAACAATTCAAGCATTAACTCATGATTTTAACATCCAAACTTTCTTACTAATACATTCTACCTCAGCCTTCAGGGTGATAATATCGATCAGTATTAACCTCATAAAATGATTAATAAGTATACGACTCAAGTGGTTTGAACCCAATCATCTGAATTCCATAAACAAAACTGTAAGAAATGAAATGAGCTTCGGTATTGAAGGTAATGACATTATCCAACAAAATTCATATAGATTCTGGTCCAAAAAACACAAAATCCACCTAGAAACTACAATAGAGTACTAAAGTTATGCCACAATTAACCTTCAATGTTTTAGGCAGACGCTGCTGCTCCTTTGCTCCTGGGCGCTGCTTCAGTACCTAATCACAGAACCCAAATGTAATTGAAATACCAGAATGCCACAATAACCACATTGATGAGAAGAAAATGCAGAGTAGACTAGTACCTTCTCTGAAACCACTCTTGAATCTGCGTGGAACATGGCGCATGTATCTCATCCGCCCAGTTCCAGTGGTCTTCCTCCTGATCGCCTTCACGCTCCAGTTATCTAAATCCAAAAGTAAAGTGAATTCACTCGAACAAATTAGCATATACATAAAGAATGCACTGCTATTTGGGTCGATAATGGAGGATCTAATGAAAAAATAAATAAAACAGATTTAATTGTGCAATGATGAAGAAACCCAATCAAGTTGCAAACTTATTAAGACGAACTTACATTTTCGCTTACGGGCAGCCGGAAATGCACAGGCGGAACATCGACTCTTCTGCAGGTGGAAGCTGCGACGGCCACACCTAACACAGAGAGTATGGGTCTTGTTCCTCCTCTTACCGAAACTTCCCGTTCCCTTACCCTAAAATTTAAAGATCAAAAAACAAATTGATTAACGAACTAGAATGAAGATTTCAACAACATTCATATAGAAAGCGAAGAGATTAGACGAATTTGAAGAATGTTCGCCGCTACCATTTAATCCGATTCGACGATGAAGCCTTCGAATTCCTCTTCCGTCCAAAGAGAAATGAGCAATCAGCGGCAGGCCTTATATTGCGAAGGTTTAGGGTTTGAACTTTGAAGAGTTCGATGGAATCGGGTGAGATGAAACCCGACCCGTATAAATTTGACTTATCCCGAAACTTTTATACTGGGTCGGGTCGAGCATATTTAAAAATTAGACATTTGGGCCTTTGGGCCTGTAAGTGGGCCATCTGAAGTATTATTAAAACAATTTGTTAACATTCCCAAACATTCTGTAATATGATTACTTTATTTTAAACTTGCTTATGTGGATACACGTGGCACTTCACTCTGGATCATGTGGCCACAACTACCGTTTGATTTTGTGGTGCAGGTGCAATTAAACGACGCCGGATAAAACGTGGAAATTGTGGGGACAGCTTTTACCTAAAACCCTCCAACTTCTGAGCCACCTGTGCCTACAGTGGGTCCCACTATTGTGTTTTTCGGCCGAGGGAGTACTGACATCCAACGGTCTGGTGGAGCCGACTATGAAGATCCAACGGCCAAGAACCGACAGACCACGGATGCACGGCATGACCTAAGATTTAAAAACATGGTTTCAAAACTTGATTAGTGTTCTTCAACAAAATTAGATCATTATTAATTTTTTTCTTAATAATAGAAATTATTAGTATTATTGTACAAAATTAGATAATAATTAACTTTAAACTAACATTAAAATACAGAACCCGACAAAGTCGAGAAGGATTCCAAATTCATCAACTTATTTACAGTCTTCATCTATGGAATCGAAAACAGAAATGGGGGATTTTTCTCTGTTCGTCCATTTTCGTTTCAAATCGTATGATCAGCATGCAATCCGCCATTGCTGAACAGACACCTCAAACTGAGCTCATAAGCAGAGAAAACGGCGCCATTAACCACAAAAGCTCTGGCAATGGCAGTTCCCAATCCACGCCACAAAACACTGTACCCTTCTTCCTTGACGCTCTTGTAGAAACAATCCATGATTCCATTGTACTTTTGAAACGAAATTTTTGACTGAGCTTGAAGTCTGGTTTTCACAACGTCGAGTGGGTAACAGCAAACCCAACTGGCGACGCCGGCGAGTCCGCCGGCGACGATCATCGTTCTCAAGGACTCTTGTCCGGTGTTTCTGCAGCCGGGATGAAGCTTTTCTCTCATGAATTGGTAAGTCCAGAAGTAGAAACAGTGCGAAGGAGCGTCTCTGAGCATCGTGATCGTTAAGCCTCTGTATAGCCCTCTGTAGCCTTCGGTTTTGAAAATGTTCTTCGCAACCTGCATCGGCCCGGGCCGAGACGAACCCACGTCTGAGTGGCTTGAATTTCCCAAATCCTGTAATTGAAGACGGATTTTGACGAGCTCTACGGGTGTTAAAATTAGGCTCTGTAATGCTCCGGTGCCGAATCCGCCTAATGCCACCGCCTTGTACGACGGCGGACGGGTTTGACTCGCCGCCGGATCGATCACACTGCAGAGCACGGCGTTTGTCTGGAAAACAACGGCGTTCTGCAGGATTCGCGTGAAAAAGTAACGAATTAACAAATGGGTTTTGTTGTAACCGTTTCTGCGTGTAGTGGGCATATTCTGGAATCTTGAATGAATTGGTTGAAGATTAAACAAAAGACGAACAAATTTGGACCTGGAAAGTGACGGAAGCGAGTGGAGCACCCATTCCTCGAAAGAGAGCGGTGGGGCCGCCGTTGGACACGATGTTGCGGAGGACGCTGAGGGCGGAACCGGAGGTGGAGTGTTGTTGACGAATGCGGAGGGTGTCGAGTGGGTAGCCGGAGACGACGCCTGCAACGCCGCCGATTCCGCCGCCGACGAACTCTTTTCCCCAACTGCTAGCGAGAAATTCCGGCCAGAAATCCATTTTTGAAAATCCACGAGATTTCTTTTCTTCCTCCCTTTTGGGGTTTCTTCAAATTAAGACAAATGGACACATAAAATTCGCGAGTTTTTGGTTTGTAGTTCGCTTGCACGGAAGAAATTGTTGAAAAAACTGATAACTTTATCCAAATAAGGATATTTCGGTGGTTATTCTTTCCGGGAAAAGAAATCTCTTTCCCGGAAAAGTTGAGGCCACAGACAGACTTCCCACTTTTTCTCAGCCGATTTCACTCGACGCCTATCGATCTATGCTCTCGTGGAAATTGGAATCTGACAATTAAAAGATTGTTTTTTTTTTTTTTAGAAAAAAAAAATAGTAATGGGCCTTAAAAATTCAAGCCACGGCCCAAAGATCCATTTGTCCTAGCGAGCCCACGAGCTTAAAACGACACTGTCATGGCTTCCTTCGCCATCGTGCGTCGAGTTTTATAACAGAAGTACCAGACGAAACACTCCGAGGAGAGGGAGAGAGAGAGATCAGAAAGCGAAAAAGGAAGAGATGGAAATGGCGACCAAGACCGATGTCAGAGCGGAGCGAAGGAGAAGAATTTCAAGCCGAGAAGGGGATCGAATGGCTCTCATCACCGGCCGCTTGCGAAATCTGCCTCCCTCGCCACCGCCTTCTCCCTCTTCGCCGCCATTTTTTCATCATTATACACATCAACGCGGCCATTCGCACACTGGAATCAACCCGTCCTTCTTCGCAAAGGACACCCACAAGAATCCTGATTCCGGTCCTCTCCCTCAAAACCACGGTATTCTTCTTTTTCTCTTCTCTTCATTCATGTCCTGTTTTTCTTCATCTCAATCGCATCCAGACGTTTCACATTTTGAGATTCCACTGTTTGATTTTTCTTTCTCCGTTCCTTCTTCTTTTAGATGTCCTGATTTATATCTTCCTCGAAATTTTGATCTAGAACCCAAATTTATTAACTAATTCGTACTTTTTCTTTGGCGATGAAGCATCGCTTAGTTTTGCATGGAACATCCATAGACGTATTGGAGATCAATCGTTTTTGTCTACGTTGCAGGAAATGTTAGGATTTTGATATGCACACACTCGAACTTTCTTGTTATAGCCGTTAGATAAATAATCGATTTAGCACATGCATTCCGCATGTTGATTCAAGTTTTATGTGTAACTATTGAGGCATTGAGTGATTTCATCTGATAAGCCTCATATTTGCAAATCATGATGATTGCTCAAATATCAGGTTGAAATTTACATTTCCTCTTTCAATTATTCATCACATGAAAAAGATAATCATCCTGATACCCCAACAATGTGATAGATTCAACTCAACTAGATAACATTGCTATAATATAACCATGAAAAAGATAATCATCCTGTACAAATTTCTTTATCTATAATGAATATATCGCTTTTATATTTCATGTTGAATGAACTAACTTCGAATGAAATAGCCATAACGGAAAGTATTCTATCTCAATGCAGTTAGAAAGACATTAAAAGTGCACTTATATTGATCAGATTTTGGTTTGTCAATGATCGTATATTTGGGCATTTATGAAGTTGGGAAGAAGAATAAGAGAAATCTTTTGATAGTTATGAAATTTTATTGGCAAGTATTAAACATGATACGTTAGTTTCTTTTCTATTCAATGCATAATGATAAAGCAAAAAAGAAATCGATACCAATATCATAGATCTATTTTGGTTGTTTGTTGTTCCTGTTTGAAACTTCGCTAGCAATTGTCATTTGATTTTTCTTGCTGTTGTAATGGGAATTTGAAATCATGATTTTATGTGGGTTAATTTTTTGGATGAGAAAATCTCATTCGACAACAAGTGGTATCAAAACTACAACCATAATTATGGCTTGATGCATGAGAGATGATTGGATTAGCTCACATTGATTTGAATGTTAGTATATAAATGAGAATTAGAATTTCTATCACTTGAACTAACTTATTTGAAGTGAAGAGTCTTGTTTGATCGAAACAGACAATTATATGGAAACCAAAATCACTCTGAATTGTACTTTTAAGTCCGTTTGTTTTGCAGATGTTTCCAAGCCTAAGGATGAAAAGGCTCCCCCTCTACTGAAGCATATTTCAATCAATGAAGTTCATAATAATGCTGCCATAGAATACCAATTCAATCCTAAAAAACTAGACCCCATAGGAGAAGGAAGCACTGAACTAATCTTAAGTCCGTCTTCCGTAACAATGGTTCAGAAGGCCTGCATTGATAACGAACCACTGCCAAAAACAAAGCCCTCAAAACCTAGACTCATCACTTCAAAACGACTAAATGCCAGCATTTTAGCTTCTCAAACCACACGAGTTTTCTGTTCGCTGATCATTGCATCGTTGGCCATTCTATCGCAAGTCGATATCCCACTTACTATAATTAGAAACATAGTGAGGTCAGAGACTGTGATGGCCTCAAAACCTCTCTACATTCTACTGCTCACCAACGCAACGATTGTGGTGGCGAGAATGTTGGCTGAAAAACAGAAAGACAGGGGGGAGGCAGAGGAAGAATGTGAGAAAATGAAGGAAGATGCACAGAACTGGGACTCAGCTGTGAAAGTTTTGGAGAGAGGTTTGGTGTTTTACCAAGCTTTTCGTGCATTTTTCATTGATTTTAGTGTTTATGCAGTGGTTGTTATCTGTGGCCTCTCTGTGCTGTATGTGTTCGGTTTGATCTAGTGAACCATCTTCAGTTCCTTGGAGCTTAGCAGATGGATCACATTTTGAAAGATTGCTGGTTTCATTATGTTCTTTCTTTGAAGGGTACATATACATATTTGAAGAGCACCATGTCGGTGTGGCTGTCTATGGCCAATCATAGTTGTTAATTATTTGAAATGCTTAAAGCTTTTCTTTTTCTTTTCCAATATCAACCTTCTGAAGGTTGGTTATTTACCTAGTTTCTAATATCATTCTTTACTTGAATGAACGACGACTACATTAAAGAAATCAGTTGATTTGTTTTGAAAGATTAAAGAGTTATTCTCATTTTTATATGGTAGTCTTTTTTATCTTAAAGGCTTAGATAGATTTGTTTAATGTGAGAGTTGTATATTGATGAAAGCCAAATGTAAAATTGATCCATAGATAGAAGTGGCTATACACAACAAGAAGAAAGAGCTCTCAACAGTACTTTCTTCAATTGGCCTCTCGTCCCCATGGCTCCTCGTATTTTGAAAGGGTGTGTTAATCAGTATATTCACTCAAAAACATGAGAAATGTCTAAATTAGTTTAAAACTAACTGATTCTTATCCGACATAAACCCATACAATATTCATATGATATTGGTGGTGTATGACATTACAAAATCTTACCTCATTTTGTTCTTTTACGGATAAGAAGATGAGATTTAAACTTTCAACCTATAAAAAAAAAAACAAAAGTTCATAACTTGAATTAAGTTCATATCTAACTAACTAAAAATATATTTTTTTTCAATATTTATTTCCGAAACAAATTTAATGACTAATCGTTTTTATGCACAAAAGTTTAGGGAGAACATTTAACCTAATTTATTTTAATATGTACTTTTAGCTTGATTGTTGTAAGGTGAGAGATCATGGTTCATGCTCCATTTCATTACTTACAAACAAATAAAACAAAATTCAGGTTCAATTCATCCCTTAAATTTTTTTTTAAATTTAAAACATCAAATACTACTAGACGCAAAGTAGAAAATTTTAAGATTTATTATATACTTTTTTTTTTTTTAGTCTATTATTGAACTTCATTTAACTTTATATGTATTAACTATTAATGAAGTTAGTTGGAAAGTATAATCTAAATATTTCAATTATTGAAGAAGATGGTTTTTTTTTTTTTTTTTTTTTTTTTTTTTTTTTTTTTTTTTTTTTTT